GCAATCAGAGCTGTGGGTAGAAACTGCTGTACAGTTGCAGGATTTGGGAGCTTCAGAGAAGACCGCAGTTAGATCTGAAGTTAGGTTTCTGTTCTGAGTATCTGCCTAGAAGTACCACTTCACCTAGGAGCAGCTAAAGAGTGAAGCACTGTTGTTTGCCTTCAGGCTGTCTGGTTGGTTGCTCCTAAGGCTGCTTCTGAAATCTGAGAGAAAGAGCAGCTTTCCTCACAAGGCAGTGCTTCCTCCTAAGATCTTTGTGGAAGTCTCAATGAGTGGTGGTGTACCTGGAAAAGAATTGGACCTCTGCAAAAGTCAAATGACAGAAGAGCCCAAGGGTTTTAATCACAGATTCTCTTTTACCAAGGTTGCGTGCTCAGTTTGCTCTACGTTGTTATCTCCTAAATTTCTTGTAACTGAGGCCCATTACTAGTAGTCATTTCTGTTACTCTTGAACACAAGTGCAGGCTTGGGCTTCATCAGACTCAAATGCATCAGGAACACCGGTGGCTGAGAAGGCAGGCAGGGCATGACTGTTGTATATTTGCCCTATTCTTGTAACTCTTTGCTGGGCACCTGGGTCTTGGGCCACCAGTGCTTTTGTCTGCCTTGTGCAGGTGGTCTTACATAGATATCAGAAACAGCGGAATTGGTGTAGAAATAGAAACAACTGTACCCGTATTCAGGAAGAAGTTAGGTTAGAAATTAACTCTTTTCCCCAAGGCATTTTAGGACATGGGAAGTGACTTCATAAAAGGTACAAAAGAATGGTGCCCCAGAGCCTTTGAGACTCCCTCCTGGACAAAAGCAGTGGCTCAAAGTAGGAATGGTGCCACTACTTCTTGCAACTAACAGGGTTGTTTTATTTTTGTGTAACAGGACCTCGAAGGTGCATATTGCATCACTGATATTCACGATGCTCTGGCTCTGTCTGATATTGGGGACGAGAGGAAGATGTTCTTGATTGGTACCCATGTGGCAGAAGATGGCTCTGAGATCTCCTCCAGCATGCAGGATGCCAAGGAGCTGATAGGGCAGCTGGTTTTGGAAACACAGTGACGGCTCTTTTCTTAAAATAAACAGGTGTTTGCAGCTGAGGGAGAGCACATGTTAGTATGTGGTCAGTTTGCAGTGTGGCAGCTGAAATTAGCAGATATGCTTTCCTGGTGGGTGTGGAATTCCTCTGAAAGTGGGATCTAGTTGGTAAGAAAATCTTAATTTATAGTGGTTTGAAAATATGTTTGAGAAGTAGTCTATTTTTAGCATATTTGTAGGAGAAAAATAGTCTGTCTCTTAGGCAGCAGATTTAAGGGAAAATATAGCTTAGATGGGCTAGATAACTTCACGTCAGGTGGGAATCAAGCACTGATTTCCATGGAAGAAAGTTGCATCCAGTGAATTTAACATGGCTTGATGTCTCAGGTTAAAGTGAAATATGTTTACTTCACAGATTTTACAGAACCCTTTTAACAGTGGTGTTCTGTTAAAAATGAGACCTCACTTCTTGACAGTGTCAGAAATTTAAAGTGCTGCAGCTAGTGTTTTTGACAGTGACAGTTCTTGTTGTGTTGGACCCAGTTGTTATGGGAGTGGCAAATTGGTAATCTGGAAATTGGGTTGGTTACTGCTTCTTTAGTGGGTAAGAACAAGAAAATGAAAGCAGTAATATATTGTTTATTTGCCTACAAGCAAAAACCCAAAATTGTGTAATTTGAGGTAGTGACTGGTTGCTTTTAAGTTAAATTGGCAGCAAAGGTGGGAGACTTGTCCATCAGGTTGAGCAGCTTATTTAAGCTTAGTCCAAGATGTCCTTGAGCAAGTAGTCTTATTTGTGAAAACCCTGTTGTTTCTTGACGGTGGTTTCTGTTAGCACAGCAGGTGAGGGAGGTGACAAGCTGCTGAGGAGTGTCACTTTCCCAGTGTCCTCCTAATTATACTCCAAGGACATGACCCAGGAGCAGTCCTGTAAAGGACCTGTTTTGCACCCGCATCTATTGTACGAGGCTTTTACGGTTTTGTCCTTTGTAACAGATGCATAAAGCAGAAAATTCCACCCTAAACACGGGTCCGGGCTGCTCTTTTCTCTTCCAGCTGGGGAACAAGATGTTGGGGTGCGGGAGGCCCCCTGGGCCGGCCAGCAAGACAGGGCCCTTGTCACCCCTTGTGGGCACAGGCCGGGGCCGTGCCCGGGCAGGGCGGGCGGAGCCGTTGGGCGGGGCGGGGCGGCCATGGAGGCGGCCGGGTGCCTGCACGGTCCGTGCGGCCTGCACGGTGCTTGGGGCCGGGACGGCCCGGGGCTGGCCATGGAGGCGGCCGGGTGCCTGCACGGTCCGTGGGGCCCCAGCGGCCCGGAGCCAGCCATGGGGGCGACCGGGTGCCTGGACGGTCCGTGCGGCGTGCACGGTGCGTGGGACCCCAGCGGCGCCGGGACCCCCGGGCGGGGGCGGCCCCTCTGCCCGGCCCCGGTGGGCTCGGGCAGGGAGGGCTCCCGGGCACGGTGGGCTGGCTGGCGCCGGCAGGCCTCGGCCACAGCGGCGGGACTGCGGGGTGCCGGCCCTGGTTCACGGCCATCGCTGCCGTCAGGGCACGTGGCTGGTTTTCCTGTCATCCCGTATCCCACACCCCCTGGTTGTTTTATACTGGCGCCTGGTGCCATTTTAATACAGCTGCTATTTCCCCGAGGCTCTGGAAACCTGCCCTGGAAGCTGCTGAAGGCAGTCATAAGGGGGTGGCTGTAGAGTCAGGTGGGAGCCTCCGGGCTGGTGACCACTGGTGCTTGCAGTGCTCTGTCCTGCAGCCTTGGGGGCTGCCAGCATCCCCCCGTGAGGAGCAACCACTGGAGAGGAAGGTACCAGGAAAAAGCAGTACGAACATCTGCTGAGCAGCTGTCCTGAGGAGATGCACAAACTTCATCTGCCATGTGATTATTGCACGCTTAAGGGCAGGCAGCCCAGGCTCTAGGTGTTATCAAGCTTTTAAATTCACCTGTTCTTGTCTTTGCAGTGTCAGATTACACACCTTGCATGTGGGTGTACCCACGCAGCAGGTAAGAAGTCGTCCCCTCCTGGCTAGGTGTTCAGGCCAGTGCCCCATGTCTTTGAGAGGGCTCAGTCGGGGATTTACACCAAGCAGTGAGTCAGTGTAGCAGATGACACTGTGATAAACACTTGAGGGGAAATTATGTCCAGTTTTGCACTTACCTCAGCTTCTGAAAAACATCCAACCCTCCGGCCCCTTTAAAATGGAAGCTGTGACTCTTTGCTTTACAAGGAATTGATCTCAAAAGGAGTTGATCTCCCTTAAGCAATGAGTGTGTGAATGCTCAGACAGTGCAGGGGAGGTGTTTCTGTGTCTGGCTGAAGCAAGGCCTTGCTGGGAAGCATGAACAGGCCCAAACAACAAAGGCTCCACCAGGGTTGGCTTGTCAGTGAGGTGGTTTAACCCCTTCAAGTTGCAGAGCTGCTGAAGGTACATCCTGAGTGAGGACGCCTGTCTGTCTAGAGCTTTTGCCACGATAAATGTAATCTTTCTTTTTGTAATTGGAAAAAGAACAAAAAAGGATTGCCAAGTGAGTTGAGAGACCTGATCTGAATGTATGTGTGCCTCATTCCTTGGCTGGATCATGATGCAAGCTTTGCACAGCATTGTGGGGCACTAGGGCCATGTGCACTATGTTGTGCTAGATTTGGCTGTGGCTGTGTGCTGGATCTGTGCCAGCAGCTGAGGAACAGCAATGAGCCTGCTTGCAGAGATAGGGCCAGCTCTGCAACACAGCTAGGCTGGGGGGAACCTCTGTGTGCTAATCCTTCACCCCCTTGCAAGGAAAACCCTCTGGGGACCCGCTTGGGACTAAAGAGCTTAAACTGGGTTTTGGCTCCTGAAATGACGTCTGCCTTCCTGACCGTGTCCTGTCTTGAACTGGTGGCAGGGAGCCAAAGTCCTACAGGCAGCTGCCTCTGTAGGATCTCAGCAGGAGCTGCGTTTGCAGCTCTGTGGCCCAAGTTAGGCGTGACAGGCATCTCATGCAGTGACGATGCTGTAACAGCAGCCTGCCATTTCAGGGATCTCTGTGGTGCTGAGCTCTCTGACAAGAATTTGCCAGGGCTTGGCATTTTACTAGCAGTATTAGCCCCATCAGAGAAACTACAGGTGTGTCCCCACAGCACAGATTGTTTTCTGTTGGCAAGTATCTCTCTCTGCTGGTGTCCTTGCTCTTCTCTAGGGCCATGCTGCTGCATTGTCAGGTGGTATGGGGCAGGGAAGCAATGCCTCAGGCTTCCACCTTCTGTGTTTTTTCCATGGTGGAGCACTTCCACAGCTGCCTGCACAGTGTGGTTGTTCACCAGCTGGCTGTGGGTAGGCACCTGTGGCCCCAGTGGGTGGGTATGGGCTTGGTCTGTGACATCAAGAAGTTGTGTAACACACTTGTGGCACTGGATTATCTTGTTCTCCTCTCAGTACCAAGGCTCATAAAGTTCAGGCACTTCCCAGTCACTGGGACTTCGGGCCTCAGAAGTGATACCTGATCTTCATGAAAGGTTTTGGTCTGTTGTATATTCAGTAAAAACATTTCCAGAGCTGTTCCTAGGGCAGAGACTATGTATGTTCCTGTGTCTATACAGCATCTAGGACCTCTGTGCTAAATGGACTGAAATAAAATGTGCTCCTAAAGCCATGTGGAAACACAGTGCTGTCCCCATGGTGCCTTTTAGTAAACCATGACGTGGTGATAACAGGTGTTTGTTCATCTGGGCTCCCATAGGCTGGGAGATCACCCTTCTTGTACCTGTTTTATGGTATGTTATTGACCAGAAAAGTTCCTTCCCACTCTTCAGCCATCAGTGGAGGCAGAATTGCAAATTTGTGTCTCTTCAGTCTAAGAGAAAACACAAAAATTCATGGGCTGGTGAGTTTGCCAGATTAAATGGGTGGAAAGTCCTTGAAGAGAGAGGTCCTTAAACACACTCTCTCAAGGGAAAGGAGGCAAAAGCACAGGGCTTTGAGAGTGTTTGTATGGCTTTGAGTACAGCAGTAGCTTCTTTATGCTTTGTTGGTTTAACTGTATGGTTAATGGCATGTTTGTCCTTTTCTACAATTTTGGCAGGATAGAGGTACTTGCAGACCCCAAGCCACTGTTCAGCCAAGTCAGCAGTCCCACGTAAGTAGGTGTTCAAACAGACTTGCTCAAGGGCTGGGGACTGATGGGACTCAGCCAGAGCAGACCCTTGGCTATTGTCTTGCTACTCCTTTCCCTCTGCTCCTAGAAAAGCAGACTGAGATGTTCCATACTTGAAGGGCTGCCTTCAGTTTGCTCTTTCAAGTGCTCAATCAAAACCCTGGGCTTGACCCGAGCCTTGCCTTTGTTGCCCCATCTGATCTGAGCTGCCCAGCTGAGATGTTGTGGGGTAGGATGGTGTGTGGTGCAGGGTGACTGGGCCATGGGAGCCAGGCTGCTCTGTCCTGGAGGATACAGCCCAGCTTTAGGAACAGAGCTGCTGTCTGTGTGATGTGATCAAACTACAGCTTCACAAGCCAGGGCAACAGTCTCATGATAACATCTCTTCTCCCTTATCTGTATGGGTCTTGAATAAAGGCTCCACAAACCCATTGCCCTGCTGTTCCCTGTCCCAACTACCCCAGTACCCTCTCCCATCATGGCCTCTCAGTGAGGGATGAGCAACTCCAAATTTGCCCTGGGCACAGGAGAGTAACCACTAACCTGCTGTAAAACCTCACCCACTTTCCATGGCACACCCTGACTGTAAAGTTGTTACTATTTTCACTGTCATACCTGTGGTATAGTTGGGTGGTAATGGTGAGGCAAAAGAAATGCAGTGATGAAACTCCTCCAGGGGTTTCAGAGATGTAATGAAAGGACCCTTTCTGCACATCCACTGGTAACTAAAACCTATCACTTTAAGAATCTTTTCCTTTTAGTTGACAACAACCAGCAGGAGAGTGTTGGGAAATTCAGAGCCACAGAAGGAGAATGCTCAGGGGGTGCTAGTGGCACTTTGCAGGTGTGGGGAGCTATAGGGTGGGTGTGTGTGTGTGTGTTCCACCCTAGGCAGGGAAGGATAGCCCCAGCAAACACATTTCACACATGTGCCTGCTACTAAAATTCGACCACCTTGCTGTTCATGCTAGGCTTGTATGGGGAAACCAAGAGACGATATGGAGTCTCACACCTGGTGCTATGACAGCTCGACCATCTGCAAGAACTTTGTATCTGTGCAAGCCCAAGAAAGATTTTACCAAGTATGGGCGCAGGTCAGTGACGTGGTAGCAGATCTTTGAGAATGAGGCAGCTCAGAGCATAATCTCAAGGGGGGTATACTGGCTCCCAGGGAAAGGGGAGATGCCATCTTCCACTTAAACCTCTGCTGTCACTGCATGGTGTAAAAAGTAGATAATGTTTTGGAATTGAAATGAAAATTGATGTAAAAAGTATAAATTACCGTGGTGCTGCATTACTTGAAGCAAGTAATTTGTAGCTGTGTTGGAGAAGATGAAGCTCTTTTGGAGTCAAAGTGGTGGTTGCTAGTCTGTGAGAAGTCCTAGCAATGAGAATGGAGATGAAACTACGTTGGTTGCACTCCTGGCTTTCCTCTACCTGAAGGAATGTCAAGACATGCATGTCTGTAGTTTTCTCCCTTCTGCCACTATCACCAATTATGGTCTCTCATCCTCCTGAGAGCTACTGTCTCTTGCTAAAGGTGTCCATACAACAGCACTTACTGCCTTTCTTCTTACCTCTTCTTCCTTCTTCCCTGGTGATGACAGGCATATTCCAACAGTTATGCTTGTTTGAAAGCTGGATGAACAAGGCACTAGGGGAGACACCAAGATGAAAGGAGCTAAAAGGGCACAAGGTGCTATCAAGCCATTGTAACAAAGAGGTTTCCAAATTGGCAGAGCTTACCAACATAAATGCTGCTAGATGTTGTGGAAGAGCTTCAGGAAAAGCCTAGACTTTGAAAGCAGTGCACCGAGAGTGCTTAAAAGAGGACTCTTCAGATGCCAACATGATTTAAAGTGAGGAAATCTCAGGTGTAAATGCCTGTTTGCTCATGGCTTTTCCATGTGCTCCAGTGCCAAATTTTGTTCATGCAGCGGGCATGGATGTTTAACAGATTTAGGTTACCATCCGCAAGGATCATGTTCTCTGTCAGTTGCCTTTTGCTAGCTCTTCTGTGCTGCTCCTCAAAAATCTTTCTTTCTGTACAGTTGCAGACCAGTAATTGGTGGGAATCCCCTGCTACCGAAGTATGGCTACCCTTCTGAACGGCTGCTGAGGTTGTCTGAACCTAAAAAATACCTCCCTGCTTACCTGGAACAAAGGTGAGAGCCTAGAAAGCCTGTAGGGTGTTATAGGTAGAGCCTCGGGTCCTGTAGCATCAGTGGTGTCTAACAAGTGCAGGAACAGAGCATGGGTAAACAGAGGGCAAAAATGCAGAGCAGGGTCTCTGCTGGGATTAGAACTTCTGGATTCTCTCATGGGATGAGTTCTACACTGGAAATGGCCACAAGACAAAGCTGCCTTCTACTGCAGCAAATGTGAGTCTTAGACAACCCAGCTGCTGCCAGATTGGAGAGCATCTGTGAGTGCCAGTGCCATGACTCTGTGCTTCCAGATCCCGTGAGACCCCGGAGTGGCCTGTGTCCCTGGCTGCACAGAACTACAATGCCTCCAAGCGGATACTGCAGCTTGCCCAGCCAAAGGGGTTGCACCCAGACTTCATGCCGCCCAGAGAGGTGAGGAGGAGGGTACAGGGATGCAGCAAACTGTCCTGTGTCCCACCCCTGGATGTGCCCAGTGTGTGGAGGGGAGAAGCTGCCTGGTTCTGCTGCAGTTTGTGGCACTGGAAGAAACTGCCTTTTCAGAGAAGAATGTTGTCTTTGCAAATCTCCTGCTGGGAGACAAAAACCAGCCAGGTTGGAGCAGCCTAGTATAGCAGGAGAGCCAAGGGAAGCATCTGGGCTACATCCTCTGGGAAAGTGGAGAAACCTGATGGAAATGGCATGTTTAGCTCTTAGGGAGTAGTCATGTTTGTAGCTGGGCAACTGTGCTCCTAGCTGAGTACACAGGGGGCATGAGATTGCAACTACTGTGTGTATTTTAACTACATTTTGCCAGAAGCCTAATTTATATTTCTGAGCTTGTTCCTTTTAGGTGGGTCATTGCTTTGGCAGGGGTGAAAGGGCTTGGAGCAATCTCAGATTACACTGATTTCCATGGCAAAGACTAGGTTTTCTGGATGCACCCTCTGGGGCTGGGAAATGGGAGTCTGGGCTGGAGCAGGACTGGGCAACAGTAACCCTGTGAAAAATTTTGGAAGAAGTCCCCTGCTGGAGAAGTAATCACATTTTCTGTAGGAATGCAGTTAACCATAGCAGCAAATTTACTCTGAAATCTGAATGTCTCTCCTTAGCAGGGAAGTTATTTGATTTGGGCAAGAAGATGAATATAAAAAATATGGAAGGAATTTCTCTGTACTTTTACCTGACTACATAGGCTCTCATTACAGGCACTCCCCTCCCGGCTCTGAGTGGGCAACAGCTGGGGAATCTGTATAGCGCCAAAATGACTTAACAGTTCAGGTGGAAAAAAATAATGGATTCTGGAAAATTAAGAGTGACCATGTATGGGTCATGGTCACCCCAGGGAGGGTGCTGGGATGTTCATCCCTGTGGAGAGGGAGCGTGTCCCTGTGGGCTGCTGTACAAGCTCTGTGTCTGCACGTCCCTCCCCCATTCTGGGTCCGTGCAGGTGCCAACCCAGGTTTCCAGCTTAGCAGTCTCGGCCAGTGCATCGGCGCGGGTGCAGAAGCTGGCAGAGCCCTTGATCAGGGAGATGACCTGCTGCACTACACACACCAAACCTGGTGTTGTCATGTCTCCGGTAAGGCAGCATCACCCGACATGGATGGGACTTCTGGCAGAGGAGTGGGCACAGGTGCTCAGTCGCTTGTGGCTCTCTTCGTGTCAGCCCTGGATGTGCTGCTCTCCGTGAGGCTGGCATAGCTGCTTCCTGAGCTGGAAAGCAGGACTTGTGCTCCATTCAGAGCATGAACTGACTCCCAGCACATATCCCCAGAGAATGGCAGAGCTGTGCCTAACCTGCACTTGTAGGGATGGGGATAGGTGGACAAGTGCCTAACTGGGATCTGGATCTCCAGTGCTGGGGGTGGGTTGGACGAAGGGCTGTGAGTAACAGGAGGCTGGAGGGCAGGTTGTGGGACTGACGAGGCAGTGGTTTCTTCTTCTACAGTTTGCCTGGTGCCAAACACAGCTGAGGATATGATTGTGTCCCATCTGTGTGCGGTCAGTGCCTGTGAACCTGGTAACTCTGAGCTGGTTGCAGGCTGAGCACCCTCGAATGCCAGGAGCATCTCTAAAGGCCTTCCTCCCCATTCTGCCACAGGTTTCCACGTCATCTCGGAAGGTAATTGCAAGCCCTCGGACCATTGAGCTGTCAAAGCCCAAACAACTCCACCCTAAGTTCATGCCCGCGCGGGATCCCGAGTGGCCTGTGACAGAGGCTGCCAAGCGTGCAGTGGCTACAAAAAGAATTCTGGGGCTGGCCCAGCCTTCCTCAAGGTAGGTACTGCTTCCCTGTCCCGGGAAAACGATCAGCTGCCAGCCCCTTTTGTGTGGCTCATGGCACCTTGTTCATTTGTGTTTGGCCAGAGAGATTAGGCCAAGATTGGGAAGTGCTCTTCCACTTCCAAAATGCCTGGGTTTTATATATTTGGGTGAGTTAATGCTACCTGGATTGCGGTTTAAAAAGCCCTTTTGAGGTAGGAGAGTCAAAAGAGAAGAAACAGGAACTCTTTAATTCCAGCAGAATTACTGGTTGGGACTTGTTATTAATTCCAACTATAAAAAGCAACCATCTGGCAAAGGGCAGAGTGTAATACGCTCCTGTTGCCCAGCATGTTGCAGCTGACCTCAGCCCAGTCTGCAGGAAGTGCTGGGAGGATGTTTCACAGAGGGTGGGGGAATGCCTGGCTGTAGTGGCTGTGAGAGATACTCCTCTCCTGACGACAGCATTGGAGGTGTGATGCCTTTTGTCCTCCCTTGACAGGGAAGGGCAGGCTTAGGCAGAGGTGTGGGAGCTTGCAGGCAACTGACAGCTGGCCTTGTTGCAGTCAGGATTGACTATTGCCACCCTCTCTCCTCCAGACCTCGTATGGGCTTGACTGCACTCGACCCAGATGCGTTCAAAGTGAAAGAGAGGGCTCTGAAGGCGGTTTGTACTCCACGGCTCGCAGAACTAGCTCAACCAATTAAGCGCTAAGCTCCTTCAGAAATGCTCCTGCCATCTGCCCACATCGCCCCTTGGAACATCACTCTCTCTGGCTGTGCTGTGGCTGGAAAATCACTCAGCAGAACGCTTTCTGGGAGTTAAAATAAAATCATCATTCCTTAAGAATAGTCATCAGGGAAAATAACAGAATTCAACTTAATGGGGGAAGACTCTCTCCCTAGGATGGGTTATGTCTGGAGTTTCTCTCTTGATTGTTTTGCTGTAATAGTTTAAGAAGTAATGAAACAACTGCTGGGGGAAGGCAGCACAGGAACTGTCCTTTCAGGAAGGGAAGTGTGGCAAACTAAACTCAAAAGCACGCACTAAGTTGATGCAACACAACTCCTGAATTTAGGTTTAAAACTTTTTGCTAAAGTTTTAGCAAAACTTTAGTTTAGCAAAACATAAAACAAGCAAAAGTTTTATGCTTGTGACAGAAGTAGAAATGCAAAAGGCTACAATGTATGTTGAGTTGGCTTGGATTTGGGACCTATTTTCTCAAATGCCTGGAGAACAGGCAGATCCAGTTACATAGGTGGGTTAAAGCTATGTGGTTCAGATACTCAGTTGTGTGACCCTGGGCAAAATAAGAGAGTTCTGCATTGGGATTTTTGGAGCCTAACTCAAAAAATCAGAGTTCCCCTTAGTGTAAGAGAGAAGGCAAGTTGCAAAGGCTAAGCAGAAAACAAGTATTGATGCCAGTGTCTGCAGACCAAATGCTGAGCTCCAGTCAGGTCTGTGGGTGAGTCAGTTTGGCAGCTGGATTGCAGGGGAACAACACAGCCTGTGCAGGGTATGACATAAAGGGAGAATGCTTTTATCTGCTACCTGCAGGGTCAGTGTGTTTTGCACTGGCTGCCCAACCACTGGTGACAGGCTGGAGATACTGAGGCAAGAGAGATGCTCACCAGTCAGGGACAAAAGCCACAAATGAGAGCATATGGCAGTTTCAGAGCCAATGTATTTTAATCTTCCCTTTGTTAAGCTGATTCTCCTTCCAAAGGAGTAGAGGCAGGTGACCACAAACCAGAAGGGGATTAATCACAGGATCCATTAATTGATTCAGTAATCCACTAAGCAGAGGACTTTTGAAGCCTTTTGAACAAGGTAAGGTCACTGGGAAATTGTGCTGGTTATTTTTAGACCAGGCATTGTCCTGTGCCAGGAAGGATGAGAGTTTGGACTTTGTGCAAGAGCCCCAGTGCAACTGCATTCCTCAGGCTTGAGAATGGCCAGGGGAGACGGGGGTCTCCCCCTAAAACCCCCATGCTGTGGGGGAACCCAGCACCACCATCCTCTGCCACCCCAGGGATTAGGAGGTGTGTGGGGCTGTGTGGGCTGCCATGCATGGATCCACAGGTGCCCTAGGAGATGAGGCTGCCCATGGCTCTCCCATGGCAAAGGGAAAACCCACTGTGCCCACTGAGGCTGCCTGGGAGAAATGTTGCCCTTCCAGAGGAAGGAGTCTGCCTCCTGTCATGGGGGCAAGGAGCACAAACAGGACAGAGCACAGCTCCTCTCATTAAAAAATGTTGGGTTTTTGTAATTGCACTGGGTAAAACTCAGAACACCCCATGAGTTCTTTCTCTTTGGTGACCTTTAACAGAAAGGTAAAAAAGGCATTTAAGGGGTGCTTGGCTTGGTCTGATTATGGTGTAGGCACTTGGTTTGCAGTATCCAGAGCTGATTTAGATGCATTGAGCCAAATCAGGTCACTTGAACAACACACTTGGTTTTCCAGATGCCCCACTCTCTGGATGATCTGCACCTTAAAGCTCACACACACACTTTGCCTCTGGGGATTGTAAGGAAAAGGAATCTTTATTTCTTCCTTCTATATTTGAACAGATATCATGGCAAAATTTTTGCAAGCCTGGAACAAGGGCATGAAATTGCGTTTTCTTGTGCAGCTGCTGTTAATGGGTGGGAATCACAAGATAGGTGATCAGCCATCAAAAGTTGTATACACACATGTGTGTGTATATGTATATATATATATTTCTATATAGTGGGTTTTTTTCTGGTTATGTACATGTTAAATAAGATTTATGTTAAATAGCAGAGTATTACTTTGTATCGCAAAACCTATTGCAACAGAAGAACTCCAAGGAAACCCACTGAAGAGCTTCACCATCCTTTATAAGAGGCAAGGGGATTGGAGCAGCATCCTCTAGTCCCTGACAGACCCACTTTCTGAGGGCAGCCCTTCAGACTTCCTCCACTCCGCCAGGCGCTGCTTGAACCATTTCTGGAGAGAAAGAACAAAGCAGAGACTGAGTGCACTGGGCTGAGCAAAGCCTCCGAATCACTCTTCTAAAGGTGCAGATGTCAGCACATGGGACGAGGCAAGGGGAACTCATGGTGCTGTTCCCAGGCAGTGCAGGCAGCCAGGATGGTTGCTCCTGACTGAACAGTCTTGTAACCTACATGTACACCTCCTTCAAACTCATTTCTCTAGCTCACTTCAGACCTCGACAGCATGGGTGAGTCTTTTTTTTATTGCTGTGAGCCCAGGTTTTTCTTGCAGAGTAAGAGATTGGCTGAGGAGCTGGATGGTGTCTGTTTAAATGACTGGAGAAGTGAAATAATCCTTTGCAAGTTCCAAACTGACAGGAATTGAAAGCTCACCTGTTTCAGAAAGCATGAGAGGTACAGCACATTGGCTCTCCAAAAAATTTAAGAACAAATCTATTTTTAAAATTGTTTAAAAATCATCTTAGTTTTAAGGCAATACGCACATCTATGTTAGCAGCACTTAACACTATGTCTGCTGTAACTTAGCATCTGGAAATCTACTCCAAGAGCTGCTGATGCCACTTCAAGACAGCCACAATTTAAAATATTAGATAAAATGTATTTGGTTAAAGCAACACTACCTAAGAAGAAAAGAAAGAAAAGAAATACTACTCATGTGCCGGAAGCACAGCTCAGCCTTTTCTTTGGCCATGTGCCTGTGATTCCTTTTGTTGCAGTTCATTTTGTTGCTATATTTGTTCATGGTTATTTTTGAAGCTATTATGCTCCATAATGATACAACCACAGTGCTCTCTATAAGTGCCTCTCACACTCACACAGCCTTTGACCACATCCAGTCATACGACTGACAGCCTAGCCTTCTCTCAAAAGTTTCACTTTCTGTCCTAAATCATAATCTCCTCTTTGCATCTCATCGTTACTGAATTTTTTATTAAAATGGCTGCTATTTCTAGATGATAAAACACTCCAGATGACAGGGGCAATGATTCCCAGTGTTCTACGCAATGCAGGCACTTTGCAGCTCACCACCCCAGTCTTGATCCTGTCCCTGACACGACCTCCATCTCCAGATCTCTAGGAGCACACTGGATTAGTGGTAAAAGATAGCTATCAGGGAGGATTTTAAGATGTCTACAGAGGTGCCCTGGGCATATATGGCCTGTGTTTACAAGTTGCTGTAGGGGAAATAAAAAGGATTAGTGCCATTTCTATGGAGAAAAAGGTATTTTAGGGGTACTGCCTCCTTGCTGCCTCAAACAAGCAGTGATTGATACCTGCCTGTCACCAAAGCACAGTCCACTCCAGCTGAGGACTATCTGTGCAATGGATGCTGTTCCAGCATCTTTCCCCAGGACAGGCTAAATGCTGACATTGCCAATTTGGCTTTGCTGAGCGAGAGCCAGGCTTGGCAGCTCTCTGCAAACTGCTGCTAACTTTCCAGTGGGATGGATTTCTTTTCTATACCCATAAATGCTGCCGTGGGTCCAGTAAACACCTACATCCCAATGAGCTGCACTGCCACCTGAAGGAACTGGGAAGAAGCCGTTTGCTTCTGAAGCCCACGGTAGCCTGCAGGTAGCCAGCTGGATCACAGGGCTTGGTGGCATTCCCAGACAGTGGCAGCCTGTCCCTGTGGAGGGATATTTGGAGGCCTCTATGTCTCCTGGAGAGGCTGACAGACTTGCCTGACATCGGGGCTTTGGGACGCTGACTGGGGGAAGGGGCACAGCCTGAGAATGTCCCACAGCATATCCTGCAGGAATTGCATCTACCCTCTATCTGTTTTAAAATGACAGTAGTTTCTTCAGACATTAAAACCAGCAGTAGTTTGTGCATCCAAGACTATCAGAAATAGTTTGGAAGAACAGCATGCACAGGTTGTAAATTCAGGAGCAGAACACGTGGAGTGCAGGAAGGATGTGGGGTACAGGGAGGTGCTGTGTGGCATTGGAGCTCTCTGGGTGCAGTTAGGAGTGTGCTGGGGGTTGCAGAGGTGCAGAGGAGACTTGTGGGCGCAGTGAGGAGAGTGCAGGGTACACGGTGGTGCAGGGAGCACACTCAGGGAGCACATGGGGCACAGAGGAGTGCAGGCGTGTGGGGGGAGCATGAGAAGGGCAGGGGTGCTGTAGGAAGCCTGTGGGGGGACAGACAGGTGTATGATAGACCAGGGCAGGCAGGAGATGTGGGGCACAGAGGCATGCAGGGGGAGCAGGGCTGGTGCCAGGGGCAGGATGAGGGGCATGCACTCACCAGAGTCTGCTCCTCGGAGAGCCCGGTCTCAGCAGCGATGAGGCACAGTGTGGTGGGGTCAGGATGCTTATTCACCTTGCAGAAGTGGTATTCCAGGATCTCCAGCTGCTCCTCAGTGGGAATCACTGGCTTTTCCATGGCCATCTCCTCCTGGGGCAGGGCTATGGGGCCAGGCACTGCAGAGAGGGCCTGGTGTCATTGCTCAAGCTGGGAGTGGCCAGTGGGGGCCACACTTGCTGAGCCCCAGATTTGCCATCCGTATCCCCACCAGCCTTCCCCCCGACCCCAGCTGTGGCCTCTGGCTGCAGCAGGACTCAACTCCCTTCCCAAAGGCATGCCAGGGAGCTCAGCTGGGAGCACCAGCCCCCCAGCAACTCCTGTCTCATTTCCTCACTGCAGCGAGCACACAGCAGCAATGCCCAGCGCTGAGCTGTCTCACCATCCTCAGCTGGCAGGAAGCTGCAGGCTGCTCAGCACTCCCCTGGTGCTGTATTTATAGCCAGTGTCACTCCCATGGGAACGATTCCTGTTTACAGCCCTATTTAGGCCTGGGCGTCACTTAGGAGTGATGTCACAGCAACGGGCATGTTCAGGGGGTTAATTTAAAGACATTAGTTAAAAAACATTATTTATCCTCTAGGAGAAGGGACAATATCTGACATCTGACCTAGTAGGTGGTTGCTTATTTTTTTTTCCCCTGCTTCCCAGTGATCAGGCAAGTTTGTGCAAAGGAATGATAAAACAGAGCATACGTGATCTTCTGGGAGCATGTTCTTTGATCCAGAAACCACCCTGTTTCCCCTCCTCAGGATCAGTGACCAGGTCCTTCTCTCAGCAGTGTGGCCAGACATCACATAATGCTGGCCATGAGAAGGTGAGCTGCACTGTTTTAAGTAATATTTAATGTTACCACACATGGGCATTAACAATTTGTCCTATTGTTCCTGAGCATCACTGAACTGGTTAGTTGATTGATTGGGTTTTGGTGTATAAGTGTTCAAATCCTCAAGGACTGTACCCAGTGTATGTCTGTTGTTCAAGCACTTGCTGCCTCTGACTGGGGTCAGTCCTAGGTGCTCCCAGCAGAGGCAGCACCAAGAAGCCCATGTTTTCCTCCAGAGTTACCCTTGTCCCACTTGTGCTTTGCATAATCTCTGGAAGATTTGGCCCAAAAGAACACGCAAAGCAAATGCATCTTGGCTAAGTCCCACACCTCTTTTCTGCTGGGCTTCAGGCTTGCTTTCACATGGCAGAGGGTCGAGCTTGCTAATTCAGTCAACTAAAACAAGGCACTGCCCCCACACAGCATGCACAAGTCCCTTGATGCTGAATCACTGTGGTGTTTTTGAAACCAGGCTGTGGGGTATTGGCAGGGGAGGAGCTGGTTGCAAAAATGTGGCCTTTCTTGATCTGCTCTCCTGCTGTCCCAGTTGCCTGACCCATCTCTGTCAGGTTGGCTGGTTGGTGTTGCTGGTTCTCCAGTGCTGCCAGGAACCCTTGGCCCTTCTTGGGATTCCTGTGGGCCATCTGCTGCAGACCTGCCCTGCTTCCACACTGCAGTCCAGCTTTTCTTTCCCTTTGGCTCTGGAGTGTGATCCTGGAACATCCATCATGCTGCACTCCTACTGCACAGGTTTAAACCCAACTGCTTTCTTGGTTGGCTGGTAACTCACCTTTAGGTACCCTGGGGTACTGAGTGCCCCAGGGCTTTCTCTTGCTGACAGAACTGCTAGGATGGAGCTCAGCTTCAAAACTGTCTTGCAGCTTGTGAAGAGCCAGGCACAGTGAGAGGCTGGAGAGATCCTCTTCTTTGAACTTTACCTCATAAAACAAAGATCCCCCTGAGCCTCCTCTGCAGAAAGTGCTTTGACTAATAAAAGAATCCTTTGGTATTTGAGTAGGGGCTTATAAATAGACTAGGGCTGGTTGTGAAACAGCCCACTCTGCTTGAGTCACTTGGTAAATAGGGATTGTAACACAGAAGTTGTGTAACATTGGAGCACCTCTGAGTGCCATAGAGTGCTGGTAGACAGTACAGACAGTATGACCCACCAGCTCTGGGTGGACTGAGGAAAGACCATCTCTAACCCCAGGTACTGCAAGCCAAGCTGGCCTTGTCTGCAGTGCGTTGCAGCTGCCTGGGCTTGCTGAAGTCAGCTCAGTTCAGAAGCATCCATATAGGGAGGGGGCATCATAATTCAGTTCCTCATTCATGTGAGGTAGTAGGAGTCTGCTGAATGCTGGTCAGCTACCATAGATGTTTGTAGACCTCTGGAAAAGATGCAGGGGTAGAAGGAGGTCCTCTGGACTTGAGGTGCTGCTCTCCAGCACTGTGGCTGCCAAGCTTTCCATGAGGCCAAAATGCAGATGAGGCCAAGCTCAGGCCACAAGTCCTGCCTCTTCTTTTTTCAGCACACAACTGAGCCACCTGCCCTTCCCACAGAAAGCCCAGCCACAAAGGGATCCTCATCACATCCAGATTATGCATCTAGCCCGGGCCACCAGCAGCAACATGCCTTGGCAGCTCATAAATCACTGTTTGCAGCCTGCTGCATTAATGTGCATTGATGTGAGTGCATGGATTTGCATAGGGAGCGCGTGCTTCACCTTTCATGTTTCACCTGCACAGCTATTTCTGCTTCTGATGATCTCCAGCTTCCTGAGGCGTTTCCCCACAGGACACAGTATCTTCTACCTGCTGGCAGCTCAGGGTGCCCCAGCATGTGGGATGTGATGCCTGATAGCTTTTCTTTGTGTCCCCTCTACCCCTGCTCTGGAAGGAGTACAGTTTTTACCTCTCAAGGTAGTGAGATGGGTTTCAGGAAAAGGCAGAAACCCTGGGGCTCCTGGAGGGCTTTGCAGGTCTCCCCACATGGCTCCAGTATGTCCTGGAGGCTTTCAGGAGCCATGTGACCCCTGTGCAGCATATGGCCTCTAGCACTTGGCACCTCCTGGATGCTAAATTTGGAGGTATATGACATGACTTGAGGGCACCAGGAGAGCCTAAATGGCCAGACTGGCCCTATTGAGACCACTAATCACCTGCCACTACTTAAATGGAGCCTCGTTTAAGCCCAGGCATGCAGCTGGGCTGCAGGCTGTCCAACATCTCTCCCTGTACAGGAAAGGTGATTGTCTCACATTTCTTTAAGCCTGTCAGAAATATGGAGACTCACAGCTGTTTGGCTTAGCTGCTGAAAAGCACCACTTCTTACTGCTTTTTTCCTCTTAAATTTTTGACAACATTGAAAAAAATTGCTTTTTCAGTGCAAAGAATGTTAGCCAGAATTCAGCAGGGCTGTGGGCTGCAGTTGTCATTCAGCTGGGGTTTACTCACCCAGGCAGAAATGACAATTCCAGAGGCACTGTCACAGGGAAACCACCACACCTGCTCTGTCCTAAGTGTCAAGCTAAGGACCCCTGGGGAATTCACACTTGGCTCTGACTGTCGTGGTTTTAGGTAGAGCGATGTGAGAGCAGAAGATTGCAAGTGGATCAGCAGCTGCCTGGGCTGTGGGCAGCTCCAGCCATCATTACTATGTACATGACAGCACCTGGTGCTCTTAGTGTGGCTGATAGGGCATTAAAATGCACCTCCAGGGCCATTTTGGAGTGAGCAGACAAAAGGTAATGGCCGATGGACACAAGTTGCAGCGAGAGAAAGTCTTATTATAAATATGTAATACTCTGCCCATGTCCTGTGGTTGCACCCAGCTCCCCAGAAACACCCTGGGGTTACTAGCAGGACTCCTAGCTCTGGCCTGAAATGGGCAAGGACATCTTTCTGTGTCCCAGCATGCTTGTCCAGCACTGCTAGTGCGGTCAGCATTTACAACCCTGGCAGAAATCTGCCACTTTTCCAGAAAAGACGTGATCTCTGTTTGCTCAGCTTTGCTTTTTTGAACAGTAGTTACAATAGCTGGCTGGCTGTGCAGCTTTCTAATGATTTACTGCACCCAAAGCTCCTGGAAATCTCTCTGAGCTGTAGCTCCTGCCAAGCTGATGGGGCTCCATAGCCTCTGCTGGGCTTCTTGACCCCCTTCCCAGTGTTCCCACTGTCAGGGCTGGGATGTGACTGGAGGCATCTGCATCTGGTTTTAGCTTGCAGCTATTTCCTGCCACTGCAGGGATCAAAATAGCAGTTCTCAATGCAAACGAGCCCTTTTACCCTCCCTTGCTGTGCTGCAGAGCCGTGTCCTGTCCTGAGCTTTGCTCATCCTCCTGCTGCGGGGTGGCTGTGGATAACATCAGCCAGCATGGCGCACAGGATAAGGTGGGACAGAGGCTTTAAAAATAAACGGGCCCTGCCATAAATAAGGAAAAAACACCTGTCATGCATCCTGTAAACTACCCGTCCAGTCTTTTAGAAGATAATATCGGGTAGGAACAAAGTAAACAGGAGCACAGCAGCTGCTGCAGCAGAGGCAGGACGCCGTGGTGGCCCCTGCCTGGGGGTCTCTCTTGTGCCTGCCTCAGGCACGAGCCTTCCTGCCCTGCTGGGTGCAGCTCCGACCTCCTCAGCATCAGTACTCACAGGGAAGCTCTTCCCTCCATCCCATCATCCCCAACTGCAAACCCACCCCAGCACCCCCTGCTCAAAGCCTGTGCTTACCTGGAGCTGGCAGGGACCAGAAGTGTGTAAAACAAGAACCCCGCAGGTCCTCGGGTGACTGCTTAAGTATCTGCGTGTGTGTTTGACAGGCGGGGACCTGAAAAACCTGCCGCAAATCACAGGAGCTGCCGGGATCCACAGCCACTCTCTGGGCTGGTAATTCAGGTTTGGCACCCGCTCCCTTTGGCAGGGCTCCCCCGCGCTCCGTGGCCGTGCGCTCCGCGGGCTCTCGGTGCCCGGCGGCCGTCGGGGCGCGTCCCGCCGCGCTCGGGGCCGCAGGACGCGGTCCCGGCCGGGGCCGCTTCCTGCGGGGGTACAGGAAAGGTGCAGGCGGGGTGCGGCGGAAACTGCGCGTCGTGCAGCGGAGCGGCAGCCGAGCCCGTCCCGCCCGGCCGCGCTGCATCCCGCTGCGCCGCTGCAAGGAGCCCGGCCTGATGGAGCCCGCTGCGCTCGCTGCTCTGCGGGGCTGGATTCTCATCTCGCTTGAGTGTCTTGCAAATGATGTGTCCAGCTTTAACATTCCTGAGCCTGCTGTCATTTTAGTCAGCCCTGTGATCGCGCCAGGCTGGGTGTAAGGGCAGGACTGGGTCCTGGATCTGTCCTGCTGCTGCTGCGGCCCTCAGAGGCACAGCCTGCCTGGGGATGGGGAGGAGAGCAGGGCATCCTCTACCAAAGCTGTCTCCTCGATCAAAGTGCCCAGGAGCCTGCCGTTCTCAGTGTGGTGGTCTGGGAGCATTAGACAGCAGCTTAAAAAGAGGCATCTTGTGGGGTGGAGTGCAGTGGGGAGGGGCTGATTTTTCTCTCAGTTTATAGACAGCTGGAAGGGGATGCTGGAAAATGAGAGAAGCTGAAGAAAGGGCTCATGAAAAATTGAGTATGGCTTGCAGTCGCTGAGATTATCTGCCAGAGCAAAACTCAAACTGGCACAGAATGCAAAAGCTGTGGAGCTGGCTGGAGCCAGAGGGAGGGAGCCCTGACCCTGGGGAGAAGTGGATGGACAAACCCAGGCAAGAAACCTGCCATATGTTTAGCAGTGAGCCAAGACCATCCTTTAGAGGTTTTGTAATTTTGGGGGAAACATGGGCCAGGGCAAGGAGATTGCAGAGATCTGTGCCAAAGGACAGGCAGCTGTGCCAGTTCTCCTAGCAGGATGACATTGATCAAGCAAGATCAGGGGATAGCTTCAATGCCTGATAAACCAAATGGTGCTGTTCAGTGGCTGCCAGAGAGATTTTTGGGAGAAGACTTGATCCTGCATGCCTTGGGCAGGCACCTGGCCAAAGGAATATGTCCTGTTTATCACTGGTGCTAAGCAACAGGAGCATAGCTAGCAATGGGTGCACACAAGCAGATTGGACAATGTGACCGGAGGATGGCTCCAGGAGCTGTGCTTGGGGGCATCAGGGTACATTCAAGGAGGCTGGAGCAGACCCCTGCAGCAGGACTCAGCCTGGGATTTCAACCCCAGTGTGGGAAAGTCCAGGCAGAGGTCCCAAAATGCATGCTGACACGTCCCTGGGGGAGCTCTCAGGGGTATTGCTACTTATCTGCCCCATGTCTGTGCTCTGCTCTGGCATCTGCTCTTGGCCAGCCTCGGTGACAGGACAGATGGGAAAATATTCTGATTCAGAAAGATTTTCCTATGTTTGTATGCTGTCTTTTTTTTTCCTTCCGTGCATATGCCCCAAGAGTTGCAAAATGTGAGTAACATGGCCTGCAGGAACAGGATAGGCTCCTCTCTTCCCTTGTTTATTACTGTCAATGGAGAGAAAGTCTTTAATGTGGAAAAACCCTTTTCTCTTAGCCTGTGAACCCAGCCCAGGCTTGCACTGGGAGCACTGGCAGTGACGTGTTTCAGGCTGAGACACCCCATTGGAATGGTTCCAGAGGTACTGGGAGTCCTGCAGTGACAGTGTGAAAGTCATGTCACAAATCTGTGCACATCTGGCTGGCACATGTTAATGCTTCTCTGACCTTTTCTGAAATCTTTTACACCCCATTTCTCCTCCTGGGAGAGGGTCGAATACTGCTGGAATTTATGCCTCACCTGATATGAAGAGATCCTGTCCCAGAGGATGTCCTTTGTCAGCAGAATTAGATTAAACAGAAACAAAATGAAGGGTGCATCCAGGCCCATCACAGACACTTTCTTCCTGTTGAGAAGAAGTACAGCTGTTGTGATGTACATGTGACAATTTTGCATAATACTGTGGCATTGCAGGGAGGGGTTGGCAGCTGCAGCCTGCATTCAGCACCCCACTGCTCTGGACCCCTCCTGAAGAGGGCTTGAATATCATCCATACTGCTCCATGGCAAGATATTGGCTGAGGTCACTTTTGGGGGGGAGGTGGGGTGGGCATTCAACACACAGATCATGCCCACCCTGGCCCAGTTGATGTCCCTTTAACACTGCATGGAGACAGAATGGAGAAAAACATGGAAAGGAGAGGGGGAAAGCAACTTGTCAAGCCATCAGGATAGAATGGGCTCTAACACAGCTTTTCTGTCTTGTTCATGCATGTGTCTATCTTGAATTTTGCCATGTTTTCTTTCCTGAAAATGAGGCTTAGCACCAGCACCACTTGTCTGGGGATTAAGCAGAGATTTTCTTCCTTTTTCTGAGTATGTGAATTAAAAAATACATGCTTTCCAGACTCCACCCCAACCCAAGTGGCAGAGAGAGTGCAAAAGCTTTCTTTCTCCCTCTGAACACCCCAATGCAAAGGAAAACCTCAAAAGCCATCTTCTGTTTTGTTTACCAGTGGGTTTTTTTCCTGATGTGCTGGGGTTTTCTGGCCACTAATCCAAAAAAATAATGTGGCTGGAAACAAGGCTTTACAGAATATTTTGGCTTCCATTCAGTTAGAGAAGAGTTTTCTAACTAGTCAGTACTGACTCACAGGACAACTCTTGCAGCTAACCAGATGAGATTTCTACCTCCATACCCCACTTGCCCCATAACAGCATAAGAGATTGGTTGTTCTTCAGGGTTCAGCCTTTGTTGGACATCCCAATACACAAGAACTTGACTGAGTCATTGTTCTTTTGATCATTTTTTTTCCTAGGAGGGCAGCAACACTGGTTGCACCCCAAGAGCCAGCAGCACAGTGTTTACCCAGACCATGCCCTGGCTAGGGGCAAGAGGAGGTGGGCACAGGTGGCTCCTGCTGCTGGAGCAGGACTGCTGGTCTGGGATCAGCTGCTGCCTCTTCTGCTCTCTCCTTCATGCATTTTCCTTTGGTTTTTGTGGACAGGGTTCAGCCTATCTCTCTTCAGCAGTAGAAGGGATCCAGGCCAGACAGATACTAATCAGATGTGCCTTCCAATAAGATTCCTGCCTTTACTTTGTCCGTGGGATACAGTTGTGTGGATGGAAACTGCAGTGTTTTATTATTCCTCCCGTTGTTCCAGCACTTCTCAGAGAACAGTGTCATCTCATTGGTATTTCCATGTGCAATCTCTGCCTGGGGTACAGTCTTCCTCCCTGCTCTCACTCTTACTAACCAGATTGTTTTGAAGTGACTAACCCGGGAGTTGATACGTGCAGTTCCTTGCCGGGAGGATTTCCAGCAGCGCTGCCATGGCTTGTAGGCAGAGCGTGCTGCAGCACGCAGAGACAGCCAGCAGGGCATCAGCGCATGTGGGAGCTTCTGCCATGCCCAGCCCAGGAAAACACGGCCCCGCAGCGGTGAGAGGCAGGGAGGGAGGACAGAGTAGACCTGCAGATCCACTCTCTACCCTGGCAGTGCCAGGGGAATGTGCAGGGGAGCGAGTGCCCTTCCACAGGCTCGGACAGCTGTGCTTTTTCTAGGGAGCGAGTCAGGGAGATGGGGGCTGGAAAATGTCTGCTGAAATCTGTTCTGTTCTGAATCTCTAGGCTGAAGCTGCCTAGAGAGCTTTTGGAGGTTCTGACTCAAATACTTCAGTGATCAAATACTTCAAGGCCAATGAAGGGACTTCATCCCTTCCCAGAGCAGGGATGAGCTCTGTCCAAACACTTGCCTGCCACCACGGCTCTCAATTGTAGCAGGATTGCTATGCTGAAGACCAACTTCAAGGCTGAGCACGGGTGCTGAACATCCCATGACTTTGCTCAGCCTTCACCATGAGGGACAAGGACCCAGTTTTCCCCTGTGCTGTCCCACGCCACAGGTTCCACCCACAGGTTCCTGGTCCTTGTGCCCACCTCATGGCAGCAGTGCCATGCAGCTGGCAGCCCGTGGTTTCTGTTGGACCAGTTTGGGCAGGCGCCTGTGGAGGGGTGGCTCTGGTGCCACCATCTGCTGGGCATTGTCACAGCCAATGAGCAGGATGGGTCATCTCTGTGACACTCACCACAGCCCCTGTGGCACCTGTAGTGCCCTGTGACACTGGCAGACAACTAGAATGACTCACAGAGTGACAATGAACCAGGAAGGAACATAATGGAGACTCTGCTCCACCTGCTGGGTGTCAGGGTGTGGCTTCAAGCGCCCTAAGCAATTAAATTAAAAATTTTTGTTCCCTTTAGCAAGCTGGTTGCTAGAGAGAGCTCCTGGGAAGCTGGCACTGACAAAGGATGCTAGTTGCCCATAGTCTTGTCTACAGAGCTGGCCACAGCTGGAGACAGCTGAGTGAGCGCAATAGAAGCACTCAGAGATGCCTTCCTCATTGCTCTGGCAGCCTCATTACCACCCCAGGGAGGGGTCACCCTCAGTGGGACATCCCCTGCTCCTGTGATCTCCCCTTGCTCCTGCTCTGGGGGCTCAGGCACTGCTCTGTCAGAGGGTTGTTTGTGTCTGGTGTGCCTGGCAGAGGGGCTCAGGGTGTAGGAGGGTGCCCTTGCCCTGTCTCTCAGGGTATGGTGCCTGGGCTGGAGGATGGGGGTGCTTTCCAGGGAAGGAGTATGGGAGCAGGGTGCAGTGCTGCACAGGCAAGCAGCTGGAGAGTGCTCAACCCATGGGAGAGCCCAGCAGGCTCAAACAAGCACAAACAGCCTCAGAAACCTGAGCTAAGCCCTACCTGCGCCACTGCTTAGGGAAGTCACACTCTTGTCACAGCACGTCTTTTAGCACCTTGTCCTGCTGGAGGGAAGTGGTTTGGGGGACACCCAAGGCTGGGGGCCAGTTCCCATCAGTGGTGAGGGCAGGTTCTGGAGGCTCACTGCCAATCTGAGGCTGTTTGAAGCAGAAGGAAGGCTTCTGGCACCGGCGTGGGATTGCTCTCATGTTGCTCCAAGTGTCTCTGTGCCCGTCTCTGGGC